GGGTTTCATGCTAAATTAAAGTAAAAGACCGCTTCTTAAACCAAAGGTGAACATGTTGGTATTCTTGTGGGACAAAAACATGCAAGCACTGTCTCCGACAGCAAGTTTAGTTTTACTTTTCTTTTTTTCATTTTGAAAAGCTTGTTATCTTTGCTGTTTACCTCACGTTATGCTATGGAGGCTCTCTTTTTTATTTATTTGATTCCTCAGTGTTTGCTAAACGTTCTGTAATTTATTAGTCGGTATATAATACAGCATGTGGTGTATGCCATGCCTCGTCTTATTCGTTTTTGTTAATAAACGTTTTATAAGCTAGTTTGTCATTGTATCTTACTGTTTTATTGTTGTTATGCTTTTTAATTAAGAATAACAATGAATCTATCTTTTGTTTTAGTCTTAAAAAGTGATAGGTGTGTAAGATCAAAAAATGGACCGAATTAGCATGCCCTGCTGTAAATTTTGACCGGTTGATGAAAAACAAGCTTATGTGGATTCTACACATTTAAACTAAGGTATCTAGTATTATTTATGGAGCAGATAAATACATTTAATCATTTATTAATCAATTATCATTTTGACTTGACGCTTTTCTTTATTTAAAAGCTGAAATGTGAGGTTTACCATTTATGAAACTTTTTCAAAGCTTTATTTGAACATTTACATTAGATATTTGAACATGCTATTAGATAAACTGTTGTCATTTAAAATGTCATTTAAAATCCGGACATCATTGGCAATGTTATTGTTTTAGTTATGCAAACAAAAACTCATTTTATTTGTTGAATTTAAATGTAAAACTTGGTGAAATGAGTGTCAGTACTTTTTGAACATTTCCAGCACATTTTAACAAACAAAAAGTCATTTTATTTGTTGTTTGTTGATTTTAAATGTAAAACATGGTGAAATTATTTGTGTGTCAGTACTTTTTGAACATTTCCAGCACATTTTAACAATACCGTGATAATACTGATAACCGTGATCATTTTGGTCACTATAATCGTGATAAGAAATTTTCATACCGTTACATCCCTAGTATTAACGGAGCTCTTTCCGGATTGCTGCTGTTTATGAACTACGCGAGTTTATTCTATAAAAGACTTGTGACTATTTATTGACGTTTAAATCCTTACAATGCCTTGACTAGTGTAATTCTGCTCGTAAATCAAGCAGACAATCAGTCATATGTTATGCTCTAGGTTGTATTTACTGGTAAGAACCACACACTAACCCACAGTTAAACATGAAATTGCTTTCGCAACGAGACTACCTTCACAGGAGGGCTAGCTTGGCCCATTCCAGCAATCACCAATGAGTCCTATAGGTGCACATGTTATACAGTGCCATGCGAAAGTTTGGGAACCCCTTGCAGAATCTGTGCTAGACACAACAAAGCTCTTTCTCTCTCACTCTGCCTGAGATGCTTCTCCACAGTAGCCCAGATTATACGCTGTTCATACAGCAGATACAAACCCAAAGCACATACATACATCCTTGTATTGTATGTTGTTCACCAATTGTTTGGAGACAACTACAAAGCCTCCACCTGAAAATACTGTCATGATGCCCACAGAGGCAGAGAGAGTTTGTTTTTAATGGTCACGTCATTAATAATTGATGCAGTGTGCCGGAGCTCCTAAGGACTTTAATGGATTTACCTGCAAGAGATTGTGATGCCTCACACAAGTGCATTAACCTGGAGAAAAACAACTTCCAGTGTCAACAAACAGTAGGTCCTGCTGAATACCACATGAAGTCCCGTCCTGCAGAAAATTTTCATCATGCATATCGGCTAAAATGTAATCATATTTACTCATGTTTATAAACATGTTTTTCATAAATCTAATTTGTTCTCGCGTGTCTAGCAAACTTGGTTGCATTTCCATGTTTACGCTATTTGATTAGCTTTATGTTTGCTGATTAATGTTTATATATAAATGAAAGCCTAAATTAAATCCGTTTATCATGTAAAATGACTGTGCCTCTTCAAAAGACTTGTTCATCTTATTTGGATTACTTATACAGTGTCTTGTTGTAGTTTTTGATGTATGAAAGTTTGGGTTGCGTGGACTTTTAATGAATATAGTATGGTGCTAGCAACCCCAAAGTCATAGGTTCGATTCCCAAGGAATACAACTGAAAAAAGTTTATCTTGAAAGCAGTGTAAATTGTTTTGGATAAAAGTGTCTGCTAAGTGCATGAATGTAAATGAATGGACAAAAATGATCACAGAATGTAAAAAAAATATATATATTTTTTGACATGAATGAGAGAGTATCCCTTAAAATTCTGTTATCATTTACTCAACCTTATGTCATTCCAAAACTGTATTCTTTTTTATTTTTTTTATTAAATTAATACAAAACTGTATTTTGGACCCCATTTACTTTAGTTGTCTGTTTCATTGTCCAAATAAATAAATACAAATTGTTGAAACATTTTCAAATTGTAATTGTTTTGTTCCACACATTTTATGATACTTGAAATTATGTGGCTTATTGAGAAAAGGTGTGCTTTTATTTTTTTTAATGATCAGAAATACTATGAGTTTTGGTGGACTAAACCGTATAATGGCTGAAAAAAGTTATTTAGGCTTGCACTGAAGGAGAGGGGGACCTGAGCCATGTCTAGGAAAGAGAACAGATCCTTTGATTTGGGACCACCTTGATGGCTTCAAATCCATCCAGAATACCCTAGCAACTGCTTAGCAATATCTGGCAACAATCACAAGCCGTGTGGTCACAGGCCACTTTCTTTTAGCAAAAATGTTTCAGGTTTAAAAATGTTTTTTTCTTTTTTTTCCCATCTGCCCCAGTGAAATGAACCTAATCAGTAGAGCCAAGCAGTTCGGTTCTTATATGTGGCTTCTTTGAGACTAGTGTGTGTATGTGTATATTGTTTCTGAGTGTGTGGTAGTCTGTGGATGACACTCCGTATGTCCGTTTGTGCTCTGTGGCCTCTCTCAGGAGATGACCTTGAGGCTGTCCTCTCCTCCTTCTCATGTGTTATGGGAGGGTGCGAGCTGTGGGAAGGGAAATGTGATCGGGGCACCAACAACTCTCTTCCGCTTGATGGATAAATCCTGTTGGTATTCTTCGTTTTTCTCAACCCTTCAGATAACAGCCATGGAAATGATGCTGGTGGTTGTGATGATAAAACATCACGCCACAATTGCTGTCATTTATAACAGATCGCTTCTTAACGGGAATAGCTATTCGTGCCATGAGTGTTTTAATGAGCTCTTCAGATTGAAAAATGAGTTGGCAGAAGATTTTTATGCAGTTTTTGATGCTTTTACACAGCAGATGCTTTCGTTAGCAGTATCTGCTCTAAAGAACAGTAATATGGGCAGAAAAGTCTCAGTTTTACGTTTAAAGGAGGGTCCCGGGCCATATCTAGGGCCTGAAAGTGTCAAAAAAACCTCATTAGCTTTAGAGGGGAAGGTGACTATAGATTATGCCATGATGTTGATTTATATTGTGAGCTTTAGTGTGGTCCTGACATTATTTGACCTACAGGGCTGCCTAGGTCACAAACAGGGCTGCCGTGACAGAATGTACTGACATGTGGCCTACCCTGCCATGTGTTTGTGGGGGTTTTGGCGTTTAGTGAAATTGCACTAACAGAAGGCCTTGGAGGTGTATAAACCAGATTTAAAGGAATGTTCTGGGTTCCATATGAAGTTAAGCTCTATCAACAGCATTTGTGGCATAACATCACAGAAAAGGATTTTTCTCATCACACTTTGTCAAATACATAAAAATCACAGTTACAGTGAGGCATTTACAATTTAAGTACACAGACCGTGTGTTATAGTGCAAATGACCCTAACAAGCCCATGTACCGAAATCACTTCACACTATTAAGCGGCTGTGTTATGAACATGCAAAATTGTATCGCACGTGTGCTACAGTGGTAAATTTATTCATCGCACAGACCTGTTTTTTTGTAGCACGTGCGACATATATGTCTGTACAGCCATACAAGCACATTTTATTTTAACTTTGAAATATGAACAAAAGAAAAGCATAAGAGCAATTTCACATCAGATGGGGTTTTATAGGGGAAGTAAGCCTGTGTACGATTTATTTGTTTGTTTGTTTACAGTATTTATTAGTTTAACTTGAAAGCAGAAATTCACATTACTCTAACCTAGTTCAACCCACCCAGAGCCAAGGATGCCAGGTGTAGAGAGTGAAACATCCCACTAGCACAGCTCCATACTGGATGCACCTCTGAATAGCCTCTCTGAGGCTACTGTATACTGCAATTTTCTTTCCTATAACTAAATTGAGTGTACCCTTGGCTGTGATGAATGTCAGCGTGTGAAATAAAAAATGCCGATTTACTCATTGTCAATTGTAATTTATTTACTTCATATAGTTTGAAACCTGCTTTATTTTTGTTGTGTAGCACAAAAGGGATTTTGAAGAATTTTTATGCAGATGTTTTAAATGTAATGACAGTGACTGTTACTGTTTTGGCTCCTTTAAGGACCAAAAAACTAAACTATCATTCAAATGTTTGGAGTCAGTAATTTTTTTTTTTGTTTACTATTTAATTAATTTCATTTAACAAGAATGCATTATATTAATAAAAAATGATAGTAAAGACTGACATGTTACAAAAAAATCCATCAAATTCATCTATTAAAATTTTTTTACACAAACGCTGTTTTCAACTGATAATAATTTTATTTGAGCAGCAAATAAATGAAAACATATATTTGAGTAGCAAATAAAAAAATATTTGAGCAGCAAAAGTTTTAATTATACTGGAGCAGCAAATTAGCATATAGAACGATTTCTGAAGGATCATGTGACACTGAAGACTAGAGTATTGATACTAAAAAATTCAACTTTGCTATCACGGCAATAAATTACGATTGAAAAATATTAAAATATAAAACCATTATCTTCATGCTGCTCTTTTAATATCTGTGAAGGAAATGCATGAAAAAATACTGGGTTGTCACTGATAATCTCTATACACGTAGCATGTAGTAAAGACATGCACTGAAAATCTGCTGGCACTCAATGAATATTTACACAGACTCTGAACTTTTTTTTTTCAGTTTATTTATGATGAAAAGATTTTGTGGTAAGTGAACTTCTGTCTGAGTATACTTTGTTCTGATTGGTTGAAGGCAGACACCTGATTGTCTTCCTCCTCCTCTGTCTCTGCAGGTGGGAGAGTCTGATACTGATTGTCATGTATGTTGGCTACATTATCATCATGAAGTGAGTCCCCATTCATTTTGCATACTCATTTATTTAAACATCTGATTCTTTAAAATGAAACCATTCAGGCTAAGTATTTTTAAATAATATTTTTTGCATTAATATTTATGTTTTTGTGTTCGCAAAATGCTTATTGGTGTGGTATTGAAATTGGAATTGAATATGAAATTTTTGCTGGTTTCACTACAGTATAATAACGAATAAATTTCGTTAAAATGTCAACATAGAACCAAATGTTTCTTCAATGAGCTGAATTAAGGTGTGGTTACAGTTACCGCTGTTCAGCAAATTTTCATGACAAAATCCAGTCATTTCAATAGGATTTCACACGACTGGGAACTTTGTGTGGTGAGCAAACGATTTCCTCACACAGATTTTGTTCAAGTTGGTCATTTGTCATGTCGACCAACTTATATCACTATACAATTGACAGTAGACAATTGACCTTGAGAAAAATGTCACAATTTTGTGTTTAGTTTGTTTAAATCATTTTTTTTTTCTTTTTTAGGTTTAACACTAGCATCCAGAACTACTTTTCGGGGAAGGAAGACAAGGGAGTCGCCAATGGTAATACGGTCATGTGCGAGATGGAGCATGGTAATGAATATGATTCGTTATGGGATGATCCATCATGGCCATTACTCAGACCAGGTATGGGTAACTAGACAGGCTTCCTCATGGGCTAGCGACTAACCCTCTGCTGCTTGCAACAAAGTCCGATTTTGTTCTCTTTAAATTAATTAAACTCTACTATCTGTATTTCTGCTGTTTGTAAAACCTACGCCAACAGCACTTACTGAAAGCGTAGCCATCTGACATCTCTTATGAGAGGCTGACACTTTGCTTCCTTGCTGAATAACTGCGGTGCGCTTTCTGTTTCAGAGCGTGGTGTCCTGTAGTGCAGCTCTAACTGTTGTGCTGCGTGGTGGTCTCTGTCACCCCCCCCCGCTGAAGCCTGTCTGTTTAGCCTTACTAAATCTGCCCTGGCTCCTGTCTCATTCTGTCTTCTTTTTTATTATTACAATTATTCATTGTAATGAATGTAAAATAAAAGAAAAAAGAAGATTGTTCTCGTGAGTGCGGATCATAATTTCCTATACTAAGTAACTCAACAGATTGACGCACCAAAATAAAAAGATCAAGTAACGCAAGAGCGCAGTGCAAACGACGTTGTTAAACTGTGTGTTTTATGAACAAATACTGTACATGCTGTGTGTACTGAGCATGAGTACAATGTATAGGTGCACTTACAAACAATTTTTCCTCCGTGTCTGCAGTAAAGCCCAGTAAAGAGTACACTAGGGGCTCTGTTGTGATGGTGGACGAGATGATAAATTCAAGCCCTCCACATTATCGGTTCCCCGAGGCCGGCCTTAGGGTCATGATCACCAACCACTTTGGGCCCAAGACACGTCTGCGCATGGCAAGCCGACTTATCATCAATGAGGTAAGAAAATACACCAGCTGAGTGAACAGTAATATATATATATTTTTTTTTTGGTCCATATAATGAAAGTCAATTGAGTTTGGTGTTGTTTTGAACCCCGTTGAGTTCCATTCCCTTCACAACCTACACTATCTAGAGAACTGTTCACAATACATTCAATTCCTGATGGATACAATTTGAATCCCCATCTTACGTTTTGTTCCTTTTTCGAACATCATCTTTCGCTTGGAAAATGTCACAATACAAAAGTTAAATGGGTTGTGAACGCTAAATTTAACAGATTAGAGTTGCAGATGTGCTCAGCTATTTTACAAGCTCTTCAAATGCGGCTCATCCATTCAGAATTCCACGTCTGCACTATCCGGTTTATAATAGAGCATATTTAAAACTGGGAACCCAGAGACTGGATTATAAACCAGAGTTCAGAAGAGCTTATGGGCCGGTCTTTGTTGACTAACTTGGCACTGTGGAGTTCTCACATCAGGTAGCCCAGTTCTGGGTGTGAGGCTGATTAAACTTATAACTTTCTATAAATATCCACACGCTAGCGTTCAAAGAATTGTGTTAGAAATTCAAACCCCCTTCTACAAAGACTGCTGAGGAATTTGATGGAGACATGTCAGCTAGTTAAGAAAGAAAAGAGTTTGTCGAGTCTTGTCAGTATAACATTTTAAGGGATAATATACCCAGAAATGGGTTTACTCACTTTCATGTTAATTCTAACACCTAAGCATCATACTACTGGAGACAAATTCAAATTAGCTTAATTTAAAAGCATGGGTTTGTGAGGAAATGGACAGTGAAGAGTGAATTATGAAGCAGTTTTTGCTCTGTGCCCCTTAAACATGCAGCAGCAGCAGCTGGAGAAGACGGCCAATGGGGTGGATGCGGTGCTGGTGGCTGATAAGAAAGCTGACACCATGGAAAATGGCAACGTAGTGGAGGACAAACTTACTGAGGAGCCGGAGAGTGAGATGTCATCTCCCTTCATCTTGCCTGGTGAGGAGGTTTCACTTTCTCACACATTAACACTTTGGCTCTTCAACCTCTGTTGTGACATCGGTGGCGTCTGAAATCATAGTATATTGTACCTATTCACATAGTTCTTATGCTGTGTCCTAACCAACAAGGTCCCTGTGCTGATAGAAAAACTGGAAATGTCAGGGTATTTTAAAATTGGGATTTCTAGATCTGGAAAAGTCATGGAATTTATATATTTTTAAAAAGGAAATGTTGAACTTCCATGTTAATCTGTTTTTGTCTTCAGTGATGCGTGTAATAATTTCTGCCAACAGTGAAATCACATTCACAGAATTTTTATTTTTTTGTGTGTAAATGTGCTTGGTACTGTAAGAACATTGTTCAGTTAGAGTAAACTATTGTGAGAAAATCACATGATAAAGGATCTCTTTTGTTATAGATCTTTTTTGTTGAGATTATAACTCTTTTTATTATTCACTACCTGTGTTGAGAGTGCCTTATTATGCATTGCATGGGCATTTCTCATGTGTTTTCTTGTGAGCTGTGCTTTCATCTGAGTTTTGCGCTGTACTGCAACCCAGTAAACTTCTAAGTCACTATAAATACAAGGATTGGATGGTAAAATGAATGCTGTCAAGAGAAGCTTTTTTGGTGGAGGCTTAATTGGTGACCTACTGTACCGTGTGACTGTAGGGGGTGCTATGGATAAAGTGAAGTTTTTCATTTCCTGGCCCATTTTGGTGTTGCTGTACTTTACCATACCCAACTGTGCAAAGCCACGGTGGGAGCGCTGCTTCATGCTGTCCTTCTTTCTCTCTACGCTGTGGATAGCCATCTTCTCCTACATCATGGTGTGGATGGTAAGTTTCAGTTTCTTTGTGTATGTAAGCATTTTTTATGTCTTTATTTAATAATTATTAATGAATTGTGTTAATGCAACATTTAAAATCTTAACTGTGACTGCCGTAGTAAATTTTATAAAAATCTTTTTATTTTTTCCTCAAGTTTTCTTAGACCCCTTGCAGCCCCTTGAGGTCCTTGGACACCAGTTTGAAATAGTCTTTGTTTTAACACTATTTATTAGCATTTTTAACATATTTTAGGTCATTCTTCTTGCAGGCATGTTACATCACTATTCCTATAAGCATTTCATTGAGGCTCATTCATGTGGGTTGCTGTGTGCAGGTCACAATTGTTGGATACACACTTGGAATCCCAGATGTCATTATGGGTATAACTTTCCTGGCTGCGGGCACCAGTGTTCCCGACTGCATAGCGAGTCTCATTGTCGCACGGCAAGGTAAAGCTCTCCTTTGTTTAATTGTCTTGTTTTTTCTTTCATCCATGTTGAGCTGACTTTCCAGCTTTGGCTTTGTGTCTGTGTGCTCAGGCCTGGGGGACATGGCTGTCTCTAACACGATTGGCAGTAACGTCTTTGATATCCTGGTTGGACTCGGCGTTCCCTGGGGCATCCAGACAATGGCTGTCAACTACGGCTCTGTGGTATCTGTCTTTGTCACTCCTCAAACATACACGCACACACAATTCCACAAAGACCGTAAAATTACCTTTTTTTTTTGTGTCCTATTTAGATTAAAATCAACAGTAGAGGACTGATTTACTCCGTTGTTCTGCTGCTGGGTTCGGTGGCTTTAACTGTGAGTATATGTTAAGGACAATTCACTTTAGAAATACAATGCATGGTCAAATGTATTATATGTGGACACCCCTTTTTAGTTTTAGTTAGATGCTCTAATTCTACTGAAGACAAATCTTCTACAAAAATTCTATAGCTGGGTATATAGAGTTGATTCAGTTATATTTAGCTTACATTTAAAAGTATACATTCTCTCTCAATGCACAGGTAGTTCCAAGTCAGTTTAATCACTGTTCTATATTAATGCGCTGCTTTAATTGATGCACACAAACAGACACACATCACTGCGCACACCGAGAAACTTATTGTCAGCACTGCCCCGCGACTTTTATTAATAAAACACCCTAGATACTAGATCGCTACATTATATTTCTCAGCAAGAAGGGGGTAAAATCGCTGTATTTGAAGTAACTAAACGGCTTCATTGTTTGTAGAGAGAGACGCACAGATGCAGGCAATTCACACAACTGTCATCTCTCTCTTTCGGTCTGATTTGAAGTGGGCAGAATGCTAGATCTAAGGAGCCATAACCGACGAAAATAACTCATTTTTACCCTTCCGGTTAAATATTGAGCTTCAAACATCATGAACACCGTCGGGAGGTTCTTGGCCTCCACGTCGTGCATTAAAATCGTTTAATGCACAGCTAGCCGTGCATTATCCCTTACATATTGGTTGACCTCTAGTCCAAACTATGCAATTGAGTAGACCGAGTAGAACACAGCAGCGTCTCCAGGATTGGAAGCTCTTTACAAATACATTTTTAAACGGCCACTGAATATAAGTATAGAGAATATGATCGATCTTAGGTTCGAATCCATATTTAGGAAAATCCATATTTAAATGAAGATCACAATAAACTGGGGTAGGACATTTTTTCCATTCCTACTTAATGCTATAAGAAAGAGCTCTTTTCTGCTCCAGCATGACATTGTTTAGGTGTCCATACAGAAGATTGCTTTCCCTGGCTGTTTACGAATAATTTTGTTTGTCCACCTTCAGGTGCTGGGGATCCATGTGAACAAGTGGAGGTTAGACTTTAAGCTGGGCGTGTACGTGCTTATTCTGTATGCCATCTTCCTCTGCTTTTCCATCTTGATCGAATACAATGTCTTCACTTTTGTCAACCTGCCCATGTGCCAAGAGGGTGTCTAGGCTAGAAGATTTCCATGGGCTTTGAACCAAAATACCTCCGGGATAAACCTGCAACCAAAACCACCAATGATTCTGCTGCTTCCTCTGTTTAATCTCCCTACTGAGTTGCTACTGTTGAAGAAAACCACTCTCTACCGCTGCACATTCGCACCACTGTGGCTCAGATGGAAGAACTGCATTTCCCAGAAGACTGTTGACTCGCAACTTTCTCCTTCAATTCCAAGAAATGAAATTCTCCTTGGCAGCTCTCTTTATAACTGGATATTCTTCCACTTCTGAGCCTTGGACAATCACAATGCAGCCCGTAAATGTTTTGTTCAGAGCAGAAAAATTAAACCTGTACACTTGCATCACAAACTGCACACACATAGCAATGACAAAGAATGCTGCTCATTCCTGTATGCATTAGCAATCTACATTTTCTAATTTCTGTCTTCCCTTGAGACACCGTATGATATGAACATGAACATAATGCACTTTATATGTGGCATAAAACATCTATATCATATTAATTTATTTCCTCCGGTATGGAAAAATGAAAGTATGTCCTTGATGTGGCGCAATAAAAAGATGAAAGTGGCACGGAATGACTGCCTTCAGGCAAGAAAGTGATTCTCGCAGCTTGTTACACAGAAGAAAACTTGAAAAAAAGATGCACAGCAGATGTGAAGCATTTTCTGTATGGATCATGCGGCAGGGGGTGAGCTGTTATGAAATCGTCATGAGCTGGACGATATATTTCCTGCTGAGAGCTTCCGGCTGGTGCCCATCTGAGAGGTCAGCGAGAGGACCAGCTTCTGACACACGGAAACAGAAGCTCTAATATTAGACACGTTTCGGTTTCCCCTTTATTATTCCAGACCTGCTTTAACCAGTGAATGGAACCAATCGTAAAGCACACATCAAAAGCTGCTCCTCACCTCTCGTTCAGACCAGAGCAGACGACCCTCAGGACCGCTCTTTGCTTGTTTTGCAATATGGACAGTGAGACTGACAACTGTGGCTGCTTTGATATTTCATACACATACTGATGATATCGCAAACAAAGATCCTGGATTTTGCAAACATGCTACAAATCGATGCTTTTTTTTTGTTTCTATGTAAATATAACCTCACTGATCCTGTCTGAACCAGTGCTTCCTTACAGATGATGGGAGGTGAGGGTGAATTTACATACGTGACCGAAGCAGCCACTTTTTCTTTATTTCCAATGCAACCTAACCTCCCTCTCTGGATCTTTATTACCGTTTGTCTGTAATGCATGATTTGACACAAAGAAGCCATTTTTAAAACGGGGCAAAAGATTTGTGAGCTCACATCAATGTCCCTACAAGGATGAATCTCAAGAAAATGTGCCCAGGTCATATTTCATCCCAAAATCAGAAGAAAAATAATTTGTATTGTGCAAGGAAATTAAGTTTTAGAACCTTTTAAGATTTGTCTGCATTGCAACATTTATTTTCTTGAAAGTTAAGCACATTTTCAACCCTGGATTCTCTTCGCTGTAATACATGTGGACTTGATACTGTAAGATGTGCACACTGTAATAAAATATATTTAAATTAGCATAAATTAAAAGAAATTACCATATTAATATTACTCAGATTTATAAATGCTTAAAATAATTTAGATGTAATTTAAATGCTTTTTTGTGTTATGGTAATGATTTTTTATTTTATTTATTTTGCATTTCAGTAATAGGAATGACATTTTTGTTACGTGGTAAAGGAAATGTTTTGATTGTATTATTGTAATGAGATTTTTATTTTGCATTGTGGTGACATTTTTTTTTGTGTGTGTGTTAAGGTAATGAGTTTTTTTTATTTTTTTTTTATTGCAGTAATGAAAATTACGGTAATGTTGTTGGAGGTTGAAAATGCGTTTGCCGTGATGTCACAATACAAAAAAAAAATTGAATGGTCCTCATAGACTGTATTTTCTTATCTTATTTCTTTGTTTTGTGGTAAAATATGACCTGAACTTGTTTCCTGGGATTCACCCATAAATGGCAGCTACAGGACCCCCGTTCACTCAGCTGCTATAGTGGGCTCAGGAGATCTGAACTTGAGCGTAGAGGAACGTGTCTTTGTGTCTTTTGTGTCAGTCGTAGAACCTGTCGTTGTTAAGTGCTAGGAGGTGGTGTCACAGTTGTCTGTGCAAAAAGACAGGTGTTGCAGTATTTGATGTACACATTATTTATGATATATGCAATCTCAGTCGGTGAGGGCTGAGTACGGGGATTATATTTTCATAGATGAGCCATGTTTGTGAAAGCTGCTGAAGTCGCCCACCGCTTTAACGCATGCATGCAGATTCTGTCATCTAATCTCACATCACATAATTGCCATTCTGTAGAATGTCGACTTTAGTTTATTGTGGCGATGTGCTGTGCGGAATGACTGTGGTGTCGTGTGGTGATACTTTTTCCTTCGTTCTTTGTTCTGTGGTGTTTCTCAGTGGTGATCTTTACGATTACATTATTCAGATGACATTGATACACCATACGCACACTGTTGGAAGAGCTTCGAAAGCTTCTACCTTATGCTGGTTCCCACGTTATATGGCCTAGTTATTTATTTTTTTATTTTCAGCATTAAATTAATTATTTGCTGCCAATTTCTATTCTTTGTTAGTTTCTCGTTGGTTGTTTTGGGAAATCTCTTTGCCAGGGCATTCATATCCTACTTTATTTGAATCTATTTGTAAGCACACTATCCTTCACTGTTGACTTTGTTGCTGATATTTTGTGCCATGCTTGATGTAAATGCTATCGTTATATTTGAACTAAGAGGAGTATTTTTTTGCCATTTAATTGTATTTTATAAACTTCGGACCTCCGGAGCAGTTTGATTAATGTTTCATCGGGTCACTTGAGACGGGATGTCTTTGTTGCCAGTTGTATAGCACTCTCACATAAATAGACTTGTATGCACTCTCCATTGTATGCCTCTTAAGAGGGTGAGAACTTAAAGAAAAGTGCTTCAAATGACTCTGTCACGCGTGAATATGCACAAAAGTAGGCTATGAGAACTTCTCATGCGGGATCTTGGTTTATTAAACACACATGCACAGATACATGCGCAACTGCTCCACGAGTGACCTCCTGCACTGTGAGAGGATCGGCATAAACCTTCTGTGAGGTACAGATTTAATGATTTTCAACTTAAGATGTTGGTGTGTAACTTGAATGTATTGTCTTGCAAGCAATGAATGTATCCAGCCAATGCATTTTACTGTAAAGCAATAATCTAAAAAGAATATTAACAACAATTTATGAAGCATACGAGTATTGTATGGAGAAAACAATTAAATTATACCGTTTATAAATGTGTTTCTTGGGTGTCTGTCTTGCATTTGGTCTTTGAATTAGTTTTTAGTGTCCCCACATGTATAAAGCCAGTAACTGCAGTCTTGGCCATTTTGTGTTTCCTTCTAAAATGGAATCGTCGTTGACCTTCTGCCAGGGCCACTGCTGGCCAAATGGGTGCCCTAAGCTAGGGCTGGACGATATGGCCAAAATTTATATCACGATATATTTCTTAATTTCGGTCGATACGATATAATTCCGATATCGATATACAGGTGCATCTCAATTAATTAGAATGTCGTGGAAAAGTTCATTTATTTCAGTAATTCAACTCCAATTGTGCAACTCGTATATTAAATAAATTCAATGCACAGAGACTGAAGTAGTTTAAGTCTTTGGTTCTTTTAATTGTGATGATTTTGGCTCACATTTAACAAAAACCCACCAATTCACCATCTCAACAAATTAGAATATGGTGACATGCCAATCAGCTAATCAACTCAAAACACCTGCAAAGGTTTCCTGAGCCTTCAAAATGGTCTCTCAGTTTGATTCACTAGGCTACACAATCATGGGGAAGAGACTGCTGATCTGACAGTTGTCCAGAAGACAATCATTGACACCCTTCACAAGGAGGGTAAGCCACAAACATTCATTGACAAAGAAGCTGGCTGTTCACAGAGTGCTCTATCCAAGCATGTTAACAGAAAGTTGAAAAAGTGTGGAAGAAAAAGATGCACAACCAACCGAGAGAACCACAGCCTTATGAGGATTGTCAAGCAAAATCGATTCAAGAATTTGAGTGAACTTCACAAGGAATGGACTGAGGCTGGGGTCAAGGCATCAAGAGCCACCACACACAGACGTGTCAAGGAATTTGGCTACAGTTGTCGTATTCCTCTTGTTAAGCCACCCCTGAACCACAGACAACGTCAGAGGCATCTTACCTGGGCTAAGGAGAAGAAGAACTGGACTGCTGCCCAGTGGTCCAAAGTCCTCTTTTCAGATGAGAGCAAGTTTTGTATTTCATTTGGAAACCAAGGTCCTAGAGTCTGGAGGAAGGGTGGAGAAGCTCATAGCCCAAGTTGCTTGAAGTCCAGTGTTAAGTTTCCACAGTCTGTGATGATTTGGGGTGCAATGTCATCTGCTGGTGTTGGTCCATTGTGTTTTTTGAAAACCAACGTCACTGCACCCGTTTACCAAGAAATTTTGGAGCACTTCATGCTTCCTTCTGCTGACCAGCTTTTTGAAAATGCTGATTTCATTTTCCAGCAGGATTTGGCACCTGCCCACACTGCCAAAAGCACCAAAAGTTGGTTAAATGACCATGGTGTTGGTGTGCTTGACTGGCCAGCAAACTCACCAGACCTGAACCCCATAGAGAATCTATGGGGTATTGTCAAGAGGATTCGAATTGAGATCGGGAGGTCATTCCACCAGCTGGGCACAGTCCAGGAAAAGGTCCGTGATAGAGATTTTGTGCCTCTTTGGGATGGCACCACAAGGTGTTGTTCACTTGCAGAACGCAATATATATATATATATATATTTATTTCAGTAATTCAACTCAAATTGTGAAACTCGTGTATTAAATAAATTCAATGCACACAGATTGAAGTAGTTTAAGTCTTTGGTTCTTTTAATTGTGGTGATTTTGGCTCACATTTAACAAAAACTCACCAATTCACTATCTCAACAAATTAGAATATGGTGACATGCCAATCAGCTAATCAACTCAAAACACCTGCAAAGGTTTCCTGAGCCTTCAAAATGGTCTCTCAGTTTGGTTCACTAGGCTACACAATCATGGGGAAGACTGCTGATCTGACAGTTGTCCAGAAGACAATCATTGACACCCTTCACAAGGAGGGTAAGCCACAAACATTCATTGTCAAAGAAGCTGGCTGTTCACAGAGTGCTGTATCCAAGTATGTTAACAGAAAGTTGAGTGGAAGGAAAAAGATGCACAACCAACCGAGAGAACCGCAGCCTTATGAGGATTGTCAAGCAAAATCGATTCAAGAATTTGAGTGAACTTCACAAGGAATGGACTGAGGCTGGGGTCAAGGCATCAAGAGCCACCACACACAGACGTGTCAAGGAATTTGGCTACAGTTGTCGTATTCCTCTTGTTAAGCCACTCCTGAACCACAGACAACGTCAGAGGCGTCTTACCTGGGCTAAGGAGAAGAACTGTACTGTTGCCCAGTGGTCCAAAGTCCTCTTTTCAGATGAGAGCAAGTTTTGTATTTCATTTGGAAACCAAGGTCCTAGAGTCTGGAGGAAGGGTGGAGAAGCTCATAGCCCAAGTTGCTTGAAGTCCAGTGTT